CGACATGCTTTGCTTCGCTTGTGCCTTAGTGTTTCGACACCACAGAGGCGCTTAGGACCAATTGTTTCCAACAATAACTACTGAGCGAGGTAAATAACTACTGAGCAGGGTAAATAACTACTGAGCAGGGTAAATAACTACTGAGCGAGGTAGCAAAGAACCAGCAGCGAGAGGCAGCTGTAGCAGCTGAAGTACCGTAGCCGAAACAGCTGAAGCGGAGACAGCAGCTGGAGCAGCAAAGAGACTCTACTATCAGCAGCTGCAGGTGAGAGGCATAAAATGGATGCTGCTCCTAGCAGTCAGGGCAGGAACAGAAGATTGATGCATGACTGACAGGCTGGAAGGTGCCAGCTGGCAGCATCACCGGACGGGTGGAAGGAAGACCAGTGGAGGTAGAGAGCGGGCGGAGAGGGGGTTGTGAAGGTTGGTGGAGAGGCAAACGAGTGGATGGGGAGAAGGGAGGTGAGGAGGTCGTGAGATGGTGATGTTTTTAAGGTGAAAGAAACGGTTGACGGAGACGGCGTAAGCCCCTTCGGATCTGCTTATGTACCGGAGCAAATCCGGGAGTCCAACCACTTGAAAAACACAGGAGAACGGGAGATAGTCCGGACATATCCTCCCTCTCTAGTCTCCTTGCATCCTCCAGTTCGCTCCGCTGCCAATGCCGTTGGTTCAACCGCAAATGCCTGTCAGCAATCCCAGGGTCAAAAAGCGCGCCGAGCCAAGATGACTGACATCCCAGCCAAAGGTAGATACCGAACCTGACTTTCCCGAACCTCATTCCGAACGAGCACCCCGCTTCCCGACGTGCAAACCCGGAAATCTGCGGACCCCATTCAGCCATCTCCAGTCCGGCGTCTCTGGAAACATCCGCAAAGCACGGCGCAACGTGGACCGTCCGATCCTGTTCCCTTCCTGACCAAGATTCGCAAGTATCAGCTGCACCTGCGAGTTAAGAGGTCGCCGGTTCAAACCCGGCAAGCAGTGACTCACATCCCATCCCACTCTCCCAGCCAATCAGAACCTCCTCGCCGAGACACTTTCTTGTCCCACCTCCCCCCCACGTAATAAGAAGATGTGACTTAATCGAAGATGTATCGCGTCAAATCATCGTCCGTCATGTATTTCGGAAGCAAATCAAGATCCACCTCGCGCGGCCCGTTCAGCTTCTTCATTGGCTCTTCCATTGCCGAGATCGTCTGCGCGCCGCGCTCCGCCAGCTTGGCAACCTTGGGTGGAATCACCGTCGGAACGATGCGCGGAGCGCCAAAGTATCCGCTTGCGCCAGGCGGAAGGGAAGCGGGAGGCTGCGCGCGCGGGGGGGAGTCGGCGGGGGAGGCCGTCGCGGGAGCGGCGGCTTTAGCGGGGAACTCCCATCCAGCGGCGTCGGAAAATTTCAGGCCCCAGATGACGTATTCCGTTTCCGTTCCGTCATCGTCAACGCTTGAAGAGATCGTTGTGATGTCGATAAACTGCAGCACTGCTTTGGAAAACTCTTTTTCAGTCACAAATTCTTCGACCTCTGCAGAAAGTACAGTAAAGAAAAAATCACGGGAGAAGCGAAGGGGAGCCAGGGAAAAAAAAAACCGATAAGTTTTAGGGGACGGGAGCAACCAGGCAAACAACAGAAAGCGAGGGTAACGCATTCTGCAAATGCCTGCATAATCTACAACATAAAAGAAACGAAAATCAGCGACTAACCTTGCATGTTTAAGCAGATCGCGTTGATCGGTGTGCATGGCGAATCAGTCGCAGTTGTCGCGAACTCGCCAGAGCTCGCCGCGGACGATGCCCCCGAACCTCCACCTCCATTCCCTCCCAGCTCGTGCAACTTGTTGGTAACCTTCGCGCCGAACTCGTTCGCAAAAGTTCGCGGAGGCGTCGCCGAGCCGGTGTTGTTCTCGCCAGCCAACCGCGCCGCGGCACCTGTCGCGCCGCTTCTCCCTAGGAACGAATTACCTCCTCCTAAGAACGAGTTCCCGGTTCCAGAAACTGATCTTAGCACTGAACCGGAATTTTGCGACGCGGACACTGCGGCGGCAGACGGCGACGACGACGACTCGTCCGATTCCGGCGAAACGGGATAAGACGACTGCGGCGACGGGCCTGGGCGACCGAGAGTCGTGTTCGGCGACGGGCAGCGGGGGAGATTGACGTGCGATCCGTTGCTTTGGTGCTTCTGCGACGCTTCTCCTCCGAAGGCTCCGCCGGGTTTCCCGCCGAAAGTTGGGTTACCGCCAAGAAGGCTCTTCTTTTGAACCCTCGAGTCGTGAATGGAAGAATACGACGAAAAAGAGGAGATATTAAGCCCAGCCGGAGCTTTCGGTTCAGAAGGTGATGACGTGGCTCCTTGCGAGTTTCCCGGCGAAGTTCCCGGCGTGCTTCCCGGCGTAGACGATCCTGGAGCCATCATAGATGAGAAAGTGGACATGTTGATTGGAGGACGGCCCTTCGGAGGAGTCCCCATCGCCGGCCGATACGAGTCTAGAGACTGGCGGCTCGGCCGGCTAAAGAAGTTGTTCTTCTCAAAATTGTACTCATCTGATTTGATCGCCTGTGGCGTGCACACGGCCATTTTTAGAGGAGTGCCAGAACAAGGTTATCAGATGTTACGAACAGCGCTTGTTACGCAAAGCCTCGGAAAAAGAACTGAAATACGCTTGGTGAACCTACTCGTAGCGCTAGACTGATGGTTGTTGATCAGTTAGAGTGCTTCGTTCTAAGTGCAGCAAACTAAGACGATCAACCAAGATCACTGATAGACTGGCGGATTAGCTAGTTTGTTCTGTAGGCAAGGAAATATAAAACACATTCCCGGTAGTGTATGTAGACACCGATGCGCTTGGAGGAGGCTAAGGTAGGCGAAAGCAGGGGCAGAAGTGAAAAACATATCCATGGTCTGATTGGCCGGGCAGGCAACGAACGACTAAACCGAATCTCGCTGAAGAACGGGAACAAGGGGTTTACAGCCGCAGAAACGAGGGGCTTGATGTTGTGATGATGACAGAGCTGGCAGTGTGTGGAGTGCCATGCGCGTGGAGCTCCAGGGATGCAACGTTTGTGTGGCGGGGAGCGGATGGAATAAGAAACGAAATTTTTAATGCTTGTACAGTACTAAGTACACCTGAACTGTAGTTGTGGCTAGCTACAGCGCTACACCAGTGGTGGAGGCATAACGCTACACCAGCGCTAAACTGAAAGGAGGATTTTGTTTTGTGGCCTGCATGACGCTTGGCTTCCCTTTCCTTGAGGTGGGTTGTGAGCTGGTTGTGGTCGACTTCAGCGACAATGGTAACCGGTTGTCCTCACATGTTCACGAAAGTTTGAGACAATCGCTGCCCAGCCACCTCGGATGGGATGTTTCCATCATTCCAGCGAAAAGTGAGTCGAATGTCGCACGCGTGTCTGTGGCTTGACAGGGTCACCACCATGCTGTGGCAAGCCTACCTCCTCACTCACTCACTCATGCCAGCCGCATGAAACGCTTACCGCACAAATCCGATGAGGCCCGAACCAGATCCGACGACTCTAACACGCTACCCTGAGGGCAACAGAAAGCAAATCCTTTTCGGGAGTTTGCTCCAAGCGCGAGCCATTTACGGGGCCTGGTGTGGCAGAACCGCGCCACGACCATTCTGGTGCGTCAGAACGAGGCCTGTCCACCGTACAGTCGGTGTCCATTTCAAGAACACCAAGTAGGCGGGCGGCATGTGCGTGAAACGTGTTTAAATTGTTTCGCCACATTCGCCCCTGTCGCCACGGGCAAAAATGTGACTAATATGAAATTGCAACGTGAATCAAGTCAAGGGTTTTAATTTCGTAACCAGGTTAACTTCTTTCATGACGGGCAACCGCTGTTGTTTATGTACTGTAGATGTTTTTCTTCCTCAACTTGGTGACTGTACCCTGAAATCGGCAAAATGGTCAATTTAGTCACTCACGGGCAAAACGATCGCGAGTGACTAAATATCTATATGTAAGAGCAAATGTTTTGTGATGGGCTGAGCATCGACTGTACGACTTCCATTCTGGCTGGGCACCTTATCGTTGTCCCCAGTTCTGGGTGGAGGCACAGAGGAAGGGATGCACGAATCACTCACATTGAAGGATAACCCATAGAACTAAACGAAATCGCTAAGGCGTTTTCAAATATTTAGCAGAATACCTGACATGTTAAATTAAGTTGAGTATTTTCAGGCGGAATTACGGCTACATTTCCTTCAAACGTTGTGCTTGATTCGAGAAGAGCGCCGAAGTGGAAGAAATTGTGATCGAAGCCGTCGATATGAGGATATGCATCAAACCGTAGCTGCCTGGGTAAAAGCTTTTGAAAAAATATTCAAGTGGCGTGTGGACTGCTGGAAAAGTGTGTCTGAAGCTGACTTGTCGGGCAGACTGAAGGTGGACACGGTACGTATTGTTTATTTATTCATTGCAAGAAGTAAAATAGGCCGTTCTACATTACTGTGATACAGTCTACAGTGCGCCAAATGTTTTTGTGGCATTGTTTGCACACGTTACGATCTGCCCGAATTTCTTGTAACCTACGGAGCAAGAATGTCACAACCATCAATTTCCATCTTGTGGTTTCGGCGAAGCCTTATCCAGGTACAAGTGGACCTCTCGTGTGGTAATGAATAATAAATCTCTTTCATGGCCTACAATCGTCGAAACCACGGCACAATGACGTGGCTGAAATATCTGACAGTGCTGAAATCGTCAGACTGTGCCTGTGTCGATTGGGGTGTGTAGTGGTAGGTACACTGGAACTACACCAAGTTTACCTCCATAACATTTCCATTTCACCTGGTTCCAACTACGCAATTGGAATCAAGGATCATAGTTAGGTTCCTTTCTCGGAGTACTCAGTCAATACTGGTGGTTGAAATCTCAGTCTCCAATGAAAGATACCCGAGTTAATCATTTCAATCCATCTAAATCACTAGGCAAAATGTTTTTTTGCTGCCTTACTTTTGTAGGGCGCCCACCCACCCCACAAATCACACATTCTCCAACAACATATGTGACAGTCCCAGAGACTCAAGAATTTGATATGTTTTTTTGGTCGGCTCGATCCCCAACTCCTTCATATCCTTCAGCACCCCGTGAATGTCCAAAACTAGACGCTTCCAGGAAGGATCCTCTTCCTTGTCCACCAGTTGTCCCTCCTCCCCAGGATCCCTCAACTCCTTATCCTTCTCCCACCGATTCACTATAGTCACAACGAGGTCGCGGAATAGCCGCGGATCAGTCATCTTATAAAGGGTACGAGAGAGGCCAATTATCTCCTTCACTCGAACCACATCGCCCTTGTTCCGGGCGGGGATGAGCACTTGGATCAAGGAAGAGAAGGGAAGCTTCTGGTCGTTCCTCTGCATTCCCACGGCTGCTGCTTCCCGCAGGGCCCTCATGGCACCCTCCTCGTCGCCTGCCAGGCAAAGCGGGGACAAGGCGAGGCAGAGAAAAACAAGACAAAACGGAGGGGTACAGTGGGGTATGAGTTGGTGCAATGATCTCCTTCACTCGAACCGCATTACCCTTGTTCCGGGAGGGAATGAGCACTTGATCAGGGCAGAGAAGGGAAGCTTCTGGTCCATCCTCTGCATTCCCACGGCTGCTGCATCCCGCAGGGCCCTCATGGCACCCTCCTCATCGCCTGTCAAACACTACACAGAGGGGTACAGTGGGGTAGAGTGCGATAAATGGAAGCTTCTGGTCCATCCTCTACATTTCCACAGCTGCTTCTTCCCGCAGGGCCCTCACGGCTCCCTCCTTGTCACCTGCCAGGAAGAAGCGGGAAAGGATAAGTACGGTGGAGTACGGTGGGATGTGGTGGGTTATGGTGGGGCTGCTGCTTTCCGCAGGGCCCTCATGGCACCCTCCTTGTCGCCTGCCAGGTGCAAGTTGCACGGGAGAAAAGACACAGAACGGTGGGGTACAGTGCAGTACTGTGGGGAACTGTGGGGTACTGTGGGGTACTGTGGGGTACAAGAGACAGTGGGCCCTCATGGCACTCTCCTCGTCGCCTGCCTGGCACAAGTGGGACAGGCGATGGCATGTATGTATGTCCCGGGGTCCCTCGGCCGCCCCCATCGCTGCATTGACTGCAGCAAGGAGGGGATCTTGTCGAGCCTGCCTGCCGTGCTGAGTGTTGCAGGGATGAGGAGCAGTTACACACCACTCACCAGATCTCAGGAATGGTTCAATGAGGCGCACGTATGTCCCGGGGTCCCTCGGCCGCCCCCACCGCTGCATTGACTGCAGCAAAGCGGGGATCTTGTCGAGCCTCCCTGTCCTCCCTGCCTCTCTCCTCCCCACCCTCCCTGCCTCTCTCCTCCCCACCCTCCCTGCCCCTCTCCTCCCCGCCCTCCCTACTCACCAGCTCTTAGAAACGCGTCGATAAGGAAGACGTATGTCTTGGCGTCCCTGGGCCGCGCCCACCAGCATTCCATCCCTTATTCAACACACACACCACACACCTCTTATGCAGTGCCCCCCTCACCAGCTCTTAGAAACGCGTCGATAAGGAAGACGAATGTCTTGGCGTCCCTTGGCCGCCCCCACCGCTGCATGGACTGCATAAAAGCGGGGATCTTGTTGAGCCTGCCCGCCCTGCCGAGTGCCGCCAGGAGCACGTTGAATGATGCTGTGGTGGGGGGCATGAGCGCACACATCTCGTTAAAGGCCTGGGAAAAAAGGGTGGGATGGGGTAGGGAGGGAGGCACAGGGGGAGGAAAACAGGGAATAGGCAGTAGGACCGAAACAAGGTGAGGAGGGCAGCAAAGCGGGGATCTTGTTGAGCCTGCCCGCCCTGCCGAGTGCCGCCAGGAGCACGTTGAATGATGCTGTGGTGGGGGGCATAAGCGCACACATCTCATTGAAGGCCTGGGAAGGGAAGGGAGGGGGGGGCAGAGGGGGCAGGAGATCAGGGTAAGGAGGGCAGCACTGCTGGAATCTTGTCGGGCCTGCCCTCCCTGCCCATCTGACTGAGAGCTGCTAGAAGCACGTTGAATGATGGCGTGGTGGGAGGCATGCGCGCACACATCTCGTTGAATGCCTGGTGGGGGGAGCGGAGGGATGTACCAGGCAGGGGAAGACGGGATAGGCAGTATGGAACAAAGTGAGGAAGGCAGCACTGCAGACATGGAGCACGTTGAATGATGGCGTGGTGGGGGGCATGCGCGCACACATCTCGTTGAAGGCCTGGGAAGGGAAGGGAGGAGGCAGGAGAACAGGGATCTCTTCTCATGCCTGCCTGACTGACTGACTGACTGACTGACTGACTGACTGACTGACTGAGAGCCGCTAGAAGCACGTTGAATGATGGCGTGGTGGGAGGCATGAGCGCACAGTCCCAGCAACTCCTCTTGCCTTCTAGCTTTGAGACGTCTCATAATCAAGTTTTGAGATGTCTCAAAAGCGCACAGTTCCTGCAACTCCTCTTGCCTTCTCCAGGTCTCCCGCTTGACTGTGAACCGCGATTCGAGAGTGGTACATGCTCCCTTTCCCGCTCTCAAATCCACTCAAATCCTCTTGAATCCTCGCAACTCCTCTCAACTCCTCCTTTCTCCCCTCTCGACCGCTCGGCCTTCTCCATGTCTCCCGCTCAGCTGTGAACCTCAATTCGAGAGTGGTACATGCTCCCTTTTCCGCTCTCAAATCCACTCGATTCCACTCAAATCCTCTTGAATCCTCTCAACTCCTCGCAACTCCTCCTTTCTCCCCTCTCAACTGCTCAGCCTTCTCCATGTCTCCCGCTCGGCTGTGCGCATCAATTCGAGTGGTACATGCTCCCTTGTACGCTCTTTACTCCTCTCAAAACCTCTCAACTCCTTTCAAATCCTCTCAACTCCTCTTTTTTCCCCTCTCACCTGTTCCGCCTTCTCCAAATCCCCCGCTCGGCTGTGCACCTCAATTCGAGAGTGGTACATGCTTCTGTAAGTTCAAAGGCCAGGGGCCGGGGGCGAGGGGGAATAAGAAAGGGATGGAAAGGGGCGGGAAGGGGTGGGAGGGGGCGGGGGAAAGGGGTTTCAAGGTTGTTGTTTTGGGCTGTGAACCTCGATTCGAGAGTGGTGCATGCTTCTGAAAGTTTACAGGCCAAAAGGGGCGGGGATGGTAAAGGGGTGGGAAGGGGTGGGAGGGAGTGGGGGGAAGGAGTTTCAGGGTTGTTTTTTGTTGCTTAACAGATAGAAAGAAAGAAAGGAAGCAAGGAAAGGGGGGTAAGAGGGAGCGAGGGAGGGAAAGAGGGAGGGAAGGAAGACAGACAACCAGACCACAATGCAAGCCCTCCGAATTGACTCTTGAGTCGAAACAAAAGTCAAGGGAGGGAGGGAGGGAGGGAGGGAGGAGACTTATCCACTCACAACCAGACCACAATGCAACTCCTACGAAACCTTCCCCCCATCCCCCCTCCCTCATCCTTCTCTCCCCTAGTATGCCCCTTCCCCTCCCCACCTCTCCCACTTCCCCCTCTACCCAACCACCTTTCCCCTCGTTTCCCCCCTCCCACCACCCCCAACCACACAGAGAAATCACGACTCAGAACAGAACCCACCTGTCAAGAGGCAACCCGGCCTGCTTCACCTCTTCCCACACTTTGGAAAACCTCTCAACCGCTCCTCGTTTCGCGTATCGCCCCATCAGGGACCAATACGTCTTCACATTCAGCCTTTCTCCTGCTTCCTTCATCGCCTCGATACACAGGTCCGTTTTTTCAAACTGCCCGGCGAGCGCGTATGCACCAATCAGGATGTTGTACGACACGCCGCTGGGCTGCCCGCCATCTGCCCGCATGCGTGCAAGATAGGCCTCCATTTTTTCGATCTGCCGGAGCCTGGCGAGGCTGGCTAAAACGATGTTGTACGCCACTTCGTCAGGCATCATTCCCTGAGGGGTGGTGTGGTATGGTGTGGTGCGGTGTGGAGTGGTGTATCAATCATCATACGTATCGCAATAGCGTGTAACACTCCCACAGCACACACACATGTGCCTGAGCCTTGAGACGTCTCCAAACTTGCACGCACGCATCTTCCCGACCCAAGCCTGGCGAGGCTGGCAGGAATGATGTTGTAAGCAACTTCGTCAGGCATCATTCCCTGTGGTGCCAGGAAGGATGGGGCGAACAGGGGAGGGCGGAACACACATGGGACCCCAAGCCTGCTGGGGCTGGCTGGAACGACGTTGTAAGCAACTTCGTCAGGCATCATTCCCTGTGAGGTAGAAAACGTTGCAGCAACAGGGGAGGGACACCCCAAACTTAGCATTACTGCAGGGGAGGCACATAAACATTTCCCTGCATGAATCCCCCCCAGCTGAGGCTGGCAAGAACGACGTAGTAAGCAACTTTGTCCGGCATCATTCCCTGTGAGGTGGGTGGAGACACAGAGGGAGCAAAGGAGAGTGGTATATGATACATAAATAGCAATTGTGCCGAGCGAACACACACATACGTGGCTGTGGGACAAGCACACACACACACACATGAACCCATGCCTGCAAAGGCTGGCTGGAATGATGTTGTAGGTGACGTTCGACACGCATCATTCCGTGATGCTCTCAATATAAACACCCTTTTCTCGATATAAGCAGCTTAACCATCTGCTTTTACTCACCATCTTCTCGTTAAAATCACCTTCGACTCGTTTTAACTTAACTTCTAATTGTGCTTCTTATACAAACCTTATTCTTGTCACAATCACCTTCCTATCCTTATCAATACTTTCTTCTTGTTACAATCACCCTCTCGTTACACTCACCTTCTCCTTCATCTCTTGGAGCAACAAATCAACATCCCCCAGCACTTTCTCCAACCGCTCCTTCCTTGAACCTTCCTTCCCCTCCCCCAACTCAAACCAATCCGCATCATTCCAACCCCCCTCCCCTTCCTCCCCTCCCCCTCCCCCTCCCTCCTCCTCATCTCCTCCTCCTTCCCCCCCTCCCTCGCTCGTTATTGTCATATCTGCTCCATTCAAGGTAGCCCCTTTCGATATAATCTCCTGCTCGGTTAGCAATGCTTGAAGCTTCGACCGATATGAGGCATTTTCCTCAGTTACCCCTTGATTACGGAGCCATTCCAGTTCTTCCCCTAGCTTGTGCGTCCGCCCGCGCCTGGCAAAATGGTGTAGCACTCCAACATACACCTGAGCGGGCAGATAAAAAAACAAAACAATTCGGGTAGGAAGTGAAAATACTGCTACAAGGAGAAAAACAACATTGCTCAACCACACTCAATCCAAATCAACTCTAAATCCCACCCACCTTTTCTTTGCAAAAATACTGCTACAAGGAGAAAAACAACATTGCTCAACCACACTCAATCCAAATCAACTCTAAATCCCACCCACCTTTTCTTTGCGAAACTCCTCAGGAAAGGAGAGGAACATCTCTCGAACGGTCCCCACCGCATTGCACCGCGCAGCACAGGCTAGGGCGAGTTGGTAGTCAAGGTAGGTGAGGGGAAAGCCCGAAGAGGAAATAAGCCATTGAGAGAGCTGGAGGAGAAGAGGGGGAAGAGGAGGAGGGGGGGGGGGAGGGAAGGGGGAAGTGGGGAAGGGGCAACGGGCGAGGGCGAGTTGGTAATCAAGGTAGGTGAGGGGAAAGCCTGATGAGGTGATGAGTCAATGAGAGAGCTGCAAGGCGGAGTGGAGGGAGGAGAAAGAGTGGGGGAATGTGGACGGCAGTGAGAGGAGCAAATGTTGCTAGACGAGTGGGTGAGGGAGAGGAAAGCAAAGCAGCTCGGTGAGAAAGGAGGGTGTGAGGGGGTGAGTGAGTGGAAATATTGCTTTTGCTCAGAGTGCAAACGGGCTTCTGAGGCGCCCCAAACTGTTGCTAGACGAGAGGGTGAGGGAGTGGAAATCCAAAGAAAGTGGTGCACAGTGGGAAGATTTTGAAGGCGCCTCAAAAAGACAAAGGGAGTGCTGCACAGTGGGAAAAGGGCTTGATTTTTCTCGGTGTGCATACGGGCTTTTGAGGCGCACCAAATGTTGCCAGACCCAAACGGGTGAGGGAGAGGAAAGCCAAAGGAAGGTGCTGCTTGGTGAGAAAGAGGCTTGTTTTCTCTCCGTGCGTGCGCACACCGACTTTTGAGGCGCCTCAAAATGTTGCTAGAAGGTGAGGGAGAGGAAAGCCAAAGGAAGTGCTGCTCGGTGGGAAAAAGGCTTGATTTCGCTTGGTTTGCATACGGCTTTGAGGCGCCCCAAAGTGTTGTTCGACGAGAGGGGGTGAGGGAGAGGAAAGCCAAAGGAAGTGCTGCTCGGTGGGGAAAAGGGCTTGATTTCGCTTGGCGTGCATGTGGGCTGGAACGATTTTTGAGGCGACTCAGAACTCGACTTATCACACTGGAAGTGCTGCACAGTGGGAAGATTTTGGAGGCGCCTCAAAAAGATAAAGGGAGTGCTGCACATTGGCTACATTGAAATCACTTTTGAGAATTCTCAGAAGGGAAAAAGGCTTGATTTCGCTCGGTGTGCATACGGGCTGGAACGGTGGAGTTGAGTTCAAATAAGGTGCCTCAATGTGGAGTGGAGTGGTTTGGGGTGGTGTGGAGTGGTTTGGGGTGGTGTGGAGTGGTCATGTGGAGTGTGGTGTATCAATAATCACACACACATACGGGCTGGAACGGTGGAGTTGAGTTGAATAAAGGTGCCTCAGAAAGAGACGAGGCTTATTGCTCACCTCTGCTGCTGATGGAGGCCTAGCAAGTATGATCCCTGTGCGAAGCCGCAACATGTTTGCCTAAGTCTAGAGTTTAGATTGAGCTGTATGTTTGGATCTTAATTCAACTTTTTTCACTAATGGTTACAATGGGTTGAGCTGTATGTTGCTCACCTCTGCTGCTTTTGCTTGGAGTGCATATGGGTTGTTGCAATGACAACAAGTTGTAATAATGAGGCAACGCAGGTAAAAAATTGTTGCTTACCTCTGCTGCTTTTGCTCGGTAAGCATGTGGGTTATTGCAGCGACAGCAAACTGTACCATGAGGCAACGCAGACATTTGTATTGCTCACCTCTGCTGCTTTTGCTCGGTAAGCGTATGGCTGGCAGCGACGGATGGCCTGTGGAGGGACGGGAGAGAGAGAAAGGGAGAGAGAGGAGAGAAGGGGGAAGAGAGGGTAAGGGTAAGCGTATGTGTGAGTGGGAGGGTGAAAGGGTAAGCATATGTGTGAGTGGGAGGGTGAAAGGGTAAGCGTATGTGTGAGTGGGAGGGTGAAAGGGTAAGCATATGTGTGAGTGGGAGGGTGAAAGGGTAAGCATATGTGTGAGTGGGAGGGTGAAAGGGTAAGCATATGTGTGAGTGGGAGGGTGAAAGGGTAAGCATATGTGTGAGTGGGAGGGTGAAAGGGTAAGCATATGTGTGAGTGGGAGGGTGAAAGGGTAAGCATATGTGTGAGTGGGAGGGTGAAAGGGTAAGCATATGTGTGAGTGGGAGGGTGAAAGGGTAAGCATATGTGTGAGTGGGAGGGTGAAAGGGTAAGCATATGTGTGAGTGGGAGGGTGAAAGGGTAAGCATATGTGTGAGTGGGAGGGTGAAAGGGTAAGCATATGTGTGAGTGGGAGGGTGAAAGGGTAAGCGTATGTGTGAGTGGGAGGGTGAAAGGGTAAGCGTATGCCTGGCAGCGACGAATTGCCTGTAGATGGATGGGAGAGAGAACAAGGGAGAGAGAAAGAGAGACGAGAGAAGGGAGAAGAGAGTGAGAGAAGATAAAACAATTCGGTGGGATTATGGGCTGCAGCGATTGACTGCAAGCAAAGGGATGGGATAGTGAGAACAAGAGAGAGAGGAGAGAAGAGAAAATACTTGGTGGACCTATGGGATGCAGACTGCAGCGATTGACTGCAAGTAGAGGGATGGGATAGAGAGAAAGTGGCAGAGGCTTTGGCAGAAAATATCACACGCACACAACCATGCAACGCAAGCAAACACAACCGGTCACACCACACCACATCACACCACACCGGACCGCAGTGCATCACACTGCACTGCACTCACCCACAGCAGCTGCTCCTTTGGGCGTGTAAGATCCCCGTGCACACGTTTTGGCTGAAATTTGTCGACCATTTGGTCGACCAAATGTTTCGCCAAAGTCGACAATGTGGCCGTTACAAAGTCGACAATGTGACCGTTACAAAGTCGACTCGACTTCAGCCATGGTAAAGTGGCCTGCAAATCTGACTTGACGTATGTTGGATTTGGTGGCCGCTATACCAGAGTTGTCAACTTTCGTTTTGTCCTGGTGGCCGAACTACAGCGACGGAGTCGCCCAAACAGTAGTCGCCCAAACATGGTATTGAAACCCTTCTATCCGGCCACAAAATTCACGCACTGTCGCAATGCTGTGCCTGCGACGTCGCCCCGGAACAGAAGTCGCGTGGTGTCGACACCCTGGCTGTTGTCGAGTCAACTTCTTGTCGCAAAAGTGTCGACCTTGGAAACGGCCAACAAATAGTAAATTACGTGGCTGTTTTGACTTCTGAGTCGACTCCTGTTTGGGGTTCGGTCGCAAAAGAGTCGACCTTCGAAACGGCCAGCAATTTGTGAATTAAGTGGCCGTTTTTGCGCGACGGTCGCAATCTTACCGCGACCTTCGTAACAGGGTTAGTTTCGCTAGCTTCGGCCGGCCGAATTGGTGTGCACGGGGATCTTACACGCCCTTATCCAGCACGCATCAATGGCCGACAGGAAAGAGGCGCTGGCCCAAGCAAAACACCGCACTGCAGCCAGTCGCACCACACCACACCACACTGCACCGCATCACACCGCACTCAACCATAGCAGCAGCTCCTTATCCAACACGTCTCCCGCCATCCTCCGCGCCTCAATGGGCAGCAGCACAGAGGCGCGTCGCCCCAAGCAAACACGCACCTACAGCCAGTCGAACCACACCATACCAAACCACACCACACTGCACCACACCGGACCGCTTCACACCAGACTGCACCGCACTCACCCACAGCAGCAGCTCCTTATCCAGCACTCCTCCCGCCATCCTCCACGCCTCAATGGCCGGCAGGACAGGATTGTTGCTGCGCACACGGCTGATAACACCCCACAGCTGCCCCCTGCGCACTGATATATATTTAGGATTTGGGGTTTAAGGAGCAAAAGGAAGAATTGGGGAGTGTAAGGAAGCATGGTTAGAAAGTTGCCGCCATCCTCCCCCCACGCCTCCATGGGCAGGGCAGCAAGACAGAGGTTAGGGTTTCAGCGCCTCCATGCTGCGCACACGACTTAGAACTCCCCACACTGCCCCCTGCGCACTGAAAGGGGATTAGAGTTTGGGCTTTTAAGTTGAAGGTACGGGGTTTGGGTTAAAAGTAGTGTGGTTTTCGACACGACTTAAGCGTTGCCGCGCAACCGGCGTATATTAATCCACCGCTGCCCCCTGCACAATGAATAGATAATCCGTAACAGGATTTGAGGTTTAAGGAGAAGAGATGTGGAGGCATGGATATAACCAGCCAACATGACAGATGTGCCGTCCAGCATCCCACTGATAAGGCCCCACAGCTGCCCCCTGCGCCCTGAAAGGGGTTTGAGATTCAGGATTATGGAGTCTAAGGAAGCTAGGTTAGCCCGGCCAGTATGATACATGAGCCGCCGAGCATCCCACTGATAAGGCCCCACAGCTGCCCCCTGCGCCCTGAAAGGGGCAAGGCTAGCCCGGCCAGTATGAGAGATGAGTGGCCCGGCCAGCAAGGGAAGACTTGGGGGAAAACGGGAGACTTGGGGTTTTAGGGAACATATGGCTTGAGAGTTCTCGAGTTGTGGGTTTAGGGCTCCAAAGGGAGGGGGAGAGCTGGAGAGAGAGGAAAACATGTGCCAGCACCTATAGTCATTGCTGCTGTTTCAGAGCCGCCTGGGAACATCTGGCTTGAGAGTTCTCGAGTTGAGGGTTTAAGGCTCCAAAGGGAAGGGGAGAGCTGGAAAGAGAAGAGAACATGTGCCAGCACATATAGTCCTTGCCCTGCGTTCGCCTGTCTCATCGCTGCCGCTCATACATCTCACTCACTCACTCGCTCACTCACTCACTCACTCACACCCTCTCTGCACGTACAGTCTCTGCTGCTGCCCGTTTGTCTGCTCCCTCGCTGCCTCGGCTGTTTCTTCCAAGCCTGAATGCCCGAACCTCCGTCTCCGGTTCGGCCCTCCCCGCCGCTGCCAAAACGGTTGTTTCTGTTGATGCCGCTGCTGCTGTTGCTGCTGATGGTGGTGCTACTGTTCACGGGGCTGCCTGTGATGCTGTGATTCCCTCCTCCCAAAATCTCTGAAACTTCTGCTTCTGCTTCTGCTTCGCTCACTTTCACACTCGTGGTATCCTCATCTTTCCCTGCTGCCGAAGCATCATCACCAGTAGGCTCGGCAGGTATCCCCGAACCAGTAGCAGCAGGCTTGACAGGGAGCCCCGAGCCAGGAACAGCTGGCTCGGCAGATGACTCCGAAGTAGATTCAGAGACTTGGGAAGCGACGGGAGGGACGGACGAGAGGAACCGAGAGGGCAGGTTCGGAATGGAGGGGGCCACGTGTGACTGTAACGAGCAGGGCAAATTTCCTGCAGTGGAGGCTGTGCTAGCGAAACTACTGTACGCACGGTTACTGTAGACGTGGCTGCTGTAAACATGGTAACCGCCAATGAGCGTTACAGACGGGAGGAGCGGAGAAGACGCAAGAGCAAAGGGAGTGGATGCATGGGCTGCTGCTGCTGCAGCATGCCTTGTAGTAACGGAGGGTGACAGTGCCAAGTGTGACAATAGAGGATCGGACTCTGAGTGATGGTTTCTCAAGGGAGCGGAGGAATCAGCAGGAGCAGCAGGAGGAGCTGCAGCTGGCTCGGCAGGTGTAGATAGAATGGGCCTGTAAAATACAAAAAAAAAAACAAAACAAAACAAACAAAAAACGGAAAACAGAAAAGGGAGAAGCATGTGGAAGACAGTTTCGAATATAGCTGCAGTGCACAACTGAATGGTACACCGCAACAGTAAATACCTAAATTGTAACATTTACGAAAAATATCAAGGGTCTCATACTTTGAATGTACAGGTGGACTGATCTGAACTGATCTGACCGCTTTCTAAAAACAAAGTACTCGAGAGCTCAGAGCAGAAAAAAGAACTAGGAGAGACGAAGGGGATGGATCCATGAAAACGCTCAGACGCGAACAGAGCAGAAAGGAGAGCGGAATGAGTAACGTGGGGAGGCGAGCGGGAGTGATTAAAAATGAAGTTACGGAGTGGATGTATCCAGGAAGACGCTCTCGGAGGAAACTTGGTGACTTTTGAGTCGACTCAAAAGTCGCTCTCGGAGGAAATTTTTGAGGAATTCTGAAAATTCTCCTCCTCTCAGACGCGATTGAGATGGGGACCAGAATGAGTGATGCGGGGAGAGGAGCAGGCGGGTTTTGCGGCGCCTAAAAAAATGCGAACACAACGGGATGGGGAGTGCGTGAGTGATGCAGGGAGAGGGAGGGACTGATCTAAAAGTCGCGGACGGATCCAGGGCGACGCTCGGACAGGAAGAGATCGGGATGGGGAGTGGAGTGCCTAACGCTGGGAGGCGAACAGGACTAATCTAAGAGCACAGAGATGACGGATCCATTGTCACTCTTAGAATCTCGCGCCGCCTCGCGTGAAGAAAGGATCTCATCGGACCCCCTCGGTGCGATTCCATCGCGGGAAGAATCTCATCGGATCTGCCAACGCGCGCATCTGACTCCCCAGTCCCTATCTTCCCCCTCTCTTTTCCGCCCCTATCGTGTAGCAAGAAGCTGATATGATTTACCTACTCGCACATCGGACTCTCAGTGCGACTGCGACATGCCTCAGTGAGACTGCGACATGCCTCAGTGCGACAGACTGACCTCAGTGCGACAGCGACATGCCTCAGTGCGACGGAATGACCTCAGTGCGACGGAATGACCTCAGTGCGACAGACTGACCTCAGTGCGACGGACGGCACAGATCCCGCGCGTTGCCTCGCGTGGAGCAACAGTCGCATCGCCATGGCGAATTGCTTCCGATGAGCAGCGCAAAAGCACGACGGTTAGGCTGATCACTCGATCGCCGCGCTTCAGTGCGACGTCGCACTGCGACGAGGAGCAATAGAAGAAGGACGGAATGCAGTTTGCTGCGACGAGATTACAAACCGAGTAAAAACGTAGCTACTCCCACAAACCCCCACAAAATAGAGCACGGCCCATTGGTTGTTACGATGGTCGTAGATTCCTAGCAGAAACACGAGTCCCAGCGCCGTCCGTGATGCATGAAGGAGGGAATGGAAGAACGCTGGAGACACGTTTGCTCTGATCAGTCTGGGGCACTCATCACCGCAGCACAAAATACACTTTGCAGGCTGACGCGTTGCGCGTGCAAACCACATACTGATACAGAATGTCTTTAGACCGATAAATGTTCATTATGAATCTCTCAGCAAAAACCCTTAAAAGACAAAATCGTGCTCAGCAGGACTCGAACCTGCGCGGGCAGAGCCCAACAGATTTCTAGTCTGTCCCGTTAACCACTCCGGCATGAGCACATGTTAAGTGAAGGATAATAGAAAATTCATAACATGCATCAATCAAGCGTCCTCGTCAAAACATCATATCGCCAGTCGCTTTTTCACTCTTCAGTCAGCAATGGCCGTCGCAATGGCCGCTTCGGGTAGTCTGGCGCGCCTATCAATGCGACTTAGCGACTGTAGCAATCTCAAAAGCGTTTCTCGCTCCAATAGTATCAGCCATCCCGCCCCGTTCCGCCTACCAGTTCGTCGCCGTATAGTTGGGTCTCTCGAGCCAATTGCGTGTTCCAAGCGGGAATCACGGCCTTCTGAAGCAGCTTCTGCTGCTTCGAAGCCCCCAGCGTCTCTTGCAGCAGAACCCTCGCAACGTGCCGTCCTTCCCCAGGTCGCGGCAGCAGAGAGAGAATCCTCCAACTTCTTTCTTTCCGTACTAGCACTTTCGCTCGGAACCTCCGCTTTAATCACATTCGCCGGTGCGGGACCCGCCGAAGCAGCCGATGCAGCCGCCGCGACCGTCGCCTCCGCCGGCGGAAGCGGAGCCGATTTACCCTCGTCTCTCCTCTCGGCCGCGTTGGGATCGCCTGTGCTTGACCTACATTCTTCGTTAGGGTTGGGGTCATCTGCGACGCTCGCTTTCATCCCCACCGGTCCGCTCATGAGCGAGTTTTGGGACAATGTCGGCCGATTCGTGATCTACTTTTTCACGGTTTTTACGGGAGGGCTTTACAGCCTGGTTAGGCCGATCGTGGAGCTTTTTAAGAAACCGACGACGGCGGTTCTGGTGGTTCTGGTGCTGGGAGGAGGGTTTTACATCACGTATCTCACTCTTTCCGCGATGCTCGGATTGGACGGCTCGGATCTTCCTCTTGATGGCTATTAAAGGAAGCTTCGGCTTGAGAGGAGCGGTAGGGTGATGGGAGCAAGCTGCTGTAATTGCTGATGCCCGTAGAATTCTGTTCGTTTAGCGGAAGTAAACCTATGTACCACGAATTTTGTACTTTTCCTTTTTACTGGTAGCACTTACCTAAACGGGGGTTTTGCTCTCCAGGTTTCATGCTTTCTGGCGCTAGAGTGAGAATGCAGCAGGGGCCTGATTAGTCATTTTTGTTTGTACCATGCACATGCGCCTGCAAATGGAGCTCGCAATGCACCATTGCTCTCCCACTCTGCTCTTCTCACTCTCATTCTCACTCCCTCTCACTTTCCTTCTCCAACCAACCATCGGTGACTTCAATGATCATCCCCCCTCTCCCTCTCCCTCTCCCTCTCCCTCTCCCTCTCCCTCTCCCTCTCCCTCTCCCTCTCCCTCTCCATCTCCCCCTCCCTCGCCCTCTCCCACTCATTTCACCGACTTTTCTGGCCTCCTTTCCCTCCTCTTGTGTTTCTCCGACGTTTTCTGGCCTTTTCCTCCTCCCTGTATGCTCTAATTGCACTCTTCTTCTCTTTTTACTCCTGCCACCTCTCCTCCTTCCGTTTTCCATCGTTCTCTTCCTTCAAATCGTCTACTTCTATTCTCCCCCCTCCCCCCCCTTACTCCTGGCTTCACTCCCTTCCCG